GCAGCCTGGTTTGAACACGTATAAGAGGATGGGTGAACAAAAGGTGTAAAGCAGGAAGGAACAGGGGAATAAAAATCAAGCGCATAACATAAAATAGGTCTTCAGCTAACCTATGAAATAGCAGAAGATCCATGGACTGTGATGCTAAGCAGGCTTATGTGAATGATTATGTGAGGCAGCTGTGGCATAAGCCTGTAGATATGGAGAAGGGCTCCAAAGGGAGTAAATAGAAACACAGACAAGGCCAGGAAGCTAACAGTGAGGGTAGCTTGTTTCACTGAGGTTTCTTTAAACAAAGAAAATTAGAGGCATACCCATACGAAAACACAGCCAACTCCATTGCCAGACAAACTCTCATTGGATCCAAAAGGCTGAAGCAAAACTCTGGTTCATTACATAATCCACAAAGAGGTTTCCTGATATTATATCCTGAATTTCTTAGACTGCTTTTTATCTACATGTGACCCGAGTTATTTCCGGTGAGCAGAGAACCTCGGGCTGCAGTGAGAGCTGCCAGAATCTACACCATGTCAAAAGGTGCATAGAAGAATTATCCCAGACAGAAGAAGCAGATTCCTCATGAAGACAAAATAAGCATGGGGTCAACAGTTCTATTTTCCTCTAGCAACTACATGGATGTATCTGTTAGAGCCAGCCAACAATTCACATTGCAAGAAGCAACATTCAGCCGCTTGTATTTGCAGCAAATTTTAATTTTCTAAGTGCAATGCTATATTGGGATGGAAAATACCACAATAATATTGGGGCAGCAAAGTCTTCAGCTACAGCAAGTGACAACAAGCCCAAATGCAGCAGCCACAGATGCAGAAATGAAAGAACAGAGATGCTTACCTTTGGAAGACCTCAGGTATGCAGGGACCTCCAACAAACAGTAAAAGATACCTTCATCCCTACTACCAACCCTTAAATGAGGTCTGGGAAGGGGTGGATCCTGGCTCCACCCTTTCCAATCACTCAGGAGCATTGCATGCACCTGAGCTCCCCTGGGCTGGCCCTGCCTTCCCACCAGGTGCTTCATCACTGCTTCAGGCTGTGACTCAGCAATTCTGCTACACTAAGTAAATTTTATTTTAATGCAAACCGAAATCTCAAGTTCCTATTTCTACCAAAGAATGCTCAGAGCTTTGCACTGGGCATGGCATATAAAGGTTTTCAGTTTTCCCCAGTCTTCTGTACTACAGCTACTTGAGGACCAGTTGGGTGCCACTGTGTCAATCATCCTCATCCCAGAAGTAAAATCCTTTATCGTCCCCTCCAACTAGAGAAGTCCAAAATCAGATCAAACATGGTAGATAATGGATAATGGATATGGATATTTAGTAACGGCAGTAGAACAGAAACATTTTACAGGAGGGTCCGCCATGGTCAAGCAGCTACTTACAGCTCAGCATGCTTTGATGCAGTTCTGGCAGCTGTCCATGTGTGTAACTGAAGACCTGGTTCAGAGTGCATAATGGCAATGGATGTGTTGCCATTGACTCAACTCAAACCGAGATGAAAACGTATCTTCCTGCAGTGAATCCAATATGCCTTTTTTTGTATTTCATGATGACTGTGTTTAGATGGCCAGCTCTCTGCTGTTGGGTACATAAAGCTAGATATGCTCCTGAAATTCACCAGAAATACAGGTGAGCTCTTCAAGCAATCAACAGAGTAAATTGTAGAAATAATAAGAATAACGTTATGATGGTGAACAGACAGCACTGTGAGTGAGGATCCTTTGAAATCCACTAGCAACAGAATAAGAGGAGTTTCAGTGCACGAGAATTTGCAGTATTTCATTGTGTAATTCCACAAAGTTCTGCTTCTCCTTAATTTCAGAAAGACAACTCAGCAGCCTCTGGCTTCTACATTTTAGTTTTTCTCATCTACTAGCCAGAAAAAGAAACACACAACTAGGAGCTGTATTCACAGACAGGAAGTAACTTTAATTAAATATTGTGAAAGTTGAAAAGTTTTTACAGCTTGAGTTTCTGCAAAAAAATTATAACAATCTCTACAGTAGTTAGTTTCTCTAACAATAGAACTGTACAGTGTGTGTGTCTATTCAAAAAGATTTAGATAAGAAGGTGAAAGGTTAGTAGTTTCAGAGATGACTTCATTTTAGCTGCATTCTAGTACAACTGTGAGGAAATAGGCATACTTGATGCAATCCAGTCATTGTGAAGCTTCACCTTTTTAAAATTGAAATCTGGACGTTTCCACTTAAAGCCATATTCTGTAAACAGCTGCATCTTTTACTTTGTAAAAGATAAGGGTGGTGCAGGGGGTGGGGTTTAAGAAGTCCCATTGAACAGACCACTACAAATAGCTGCAACAGAACGAAACGATGCACGTTGTCAGAGGATCTTTGGACACTGGCGTAGAAGACTACAAACACAGGTGGCCAACACTGGTGTCAAAATCGCTATGACTTTGAGTGGAGCCCTACAAGAGTAATTGATGGTGTCACTGGACAAAATATGGCTTTAAATTTGATTACATTGTCGTGCTGTTGCTTACTATGTGAATTAGAATAACCGCTTGGAATACAGAGAAGCAATAACTGATGTCTCTCACATTTTCCAGTTTTTTCTCCTTTTATTTTCTCACCATGAAAAAAAAAAGTTCCTGCTTTCTTCCCTTCCCCTAAATGATCACACTGTGACATTCTAGTGAAAACCATTGCAAAATTCATACAGGAAGCATGCACAGTTGCAGCATCGTTGTAAATGATTTCTTGCTCGACTAGAAAAAAGTTATATTGTTTTAAGGTAACAAAACAGTTCTTTTGTGCTTTTCAATTCCTTTTTTTTTTTTTTTTCTTAGAATGTTAGTGATGATTGACAGTTCTGGTGCACAGTACAATGTACAAGTGAAATGAATATGATTTGCATTGTTAAGGCATCCAATCTGCTGGTTTATATTTACGTGAAAGACAGAGAAATATACAAGCAGACTTAAGAAAGAAAGTATTTTCATTGAGTTCTATGAAGTTTCTCCCCATATTTAATGCACAAAAATGCGTCACTCCAAAGAGGAGAAATCCCATGCATATTAATAGAGTAAAACAGCATTAGTTTTTGTTAAGCCTCAAAAGCAAAGGATACATTTTTTTAAAATCTACATAACTAAATGCTACAAGAATAATATGCTACTTTTTGCCATATATTGGAAAAAACTTCTTAACTTACAAATAATACAAAAATAGACAATGGCTTTTGGGTGGAAAGTAAAAAAAAATGGAAGCATGGTTTTAAACAATACTAAAAAAAAAACCCAACCCTATAAATGAAATGCTTTAAAACCACATTTAAACAGCTAATACAACGGTGAATGACCAAACAAATCACTTTTCACATAGCAAACATACACAATAAAATAAACTGGAGTAGGGGGGGAAAAAGCAATGTACAAATTCCCAAGATAAATACATTATTTATATGGATATTTTACAAAATCCCCCGTAAAACAAATGAACAACAACAACAAAAAAAAAACAGAAACAAAAAGCTTTTTTTTTCTTTAATTAATTTCGCAAGTATGTGCAAGCTAAAGGTAGTGAGCTCTTTTTGCAAAATATGCAGTAAAATTCTTTATTGTGATATTGAAAAACTGTCTTAAGACATTAAAATGTATAAATAGAACAACAACTTTGGCAAAAAATCACAAAAAATCTACAGTATTTATAACTACATACAAAACACAACAGCAAAGAAAAAATATCAGGTAATGCATTTTCAGAGCTTTGCTGCCTCTTTGACCAATCGTTTTTAAGAACTTCCCAGATGACGATAGCAAAACTTTTGTAAAACAGAAGCGATGGTTCTGATCTGAAACCTCCCCACCAGCCCCACCGCCCGCCCCGAACTCCTGTTTCCATTTTACTGTTGAGAAGCAGTTACCTGTGGCTTTATATATTATGATACAAACGGAGAGGGTCGACTGATACAGGAACAATCCTAGCGCGAGGCTGGCAACAGTGTGTGCTTTTAGATCGTGAGGACGGAGGACCGCAGAGGAGCCTTTTCTCATTCTGCCCCATAGAAGATAAAGGGGGACCATGAGATGCCCACTGCGTGATGGCTGTGGTTTGTGTCTTGGGATGGCTGTGCAAAAGGTGAATGGCGTTTTGTGCACAGCCCAGGTGACACTGGACATCAGGAAGGCCACCCATGGGGAAAGAGTTGGATATATAAGCTAACGAGAGCCATGCTAATCTAATGCTGCAGTTTTAGCAGTATATCTGGAGGCACTGGATTTTGAGTTCAAGAGGAAACGTGTTTGTTACTTGCATTCTAAGCTTTAACCAACTTTTCTTGTCGCACTATTTACACGATTATTTAGCCTGATATTAAAGACAGAGATTCCAAATCCCACCCCCCATCCCGCTCTCACCATCCAAAAATATCCACTTTCTGGGGAGTGATATCCATTTAATGAGAACATTAAAAATGTATCACATTAGCAAATCACCACTGGATAAGCAACCTGTATGAGCCGACCCTTAATTAAATGGCCATAATTCTTCTACGAAAAACTAACTGGCACTTCTATTCTGTCCCATACAGACTTGTATGCAAATGACACCACTTCATTTTCTTTACACAGCTTAAAAAAAAATTCATAAATTAAAAACGTGGAGTTCCATCTCTAGTGTCCCTTGCGTAATTGTATGATTTATAAAAGACAAACGATGTTGAGTTAAATCAAACCTTAAAAAAACACACACACAAAAAAAAGGGAAAAAAAAAAAGCAAGCCCCCAACCCCCCACACAAAAAAACCACCACCACCACCAACAAAAAAAAAAAAACAACAAAAGAAAGAAAAAACAACAAAAGAAAAGTGGATTTTTTTAATCAACGTACAATAAATATATCTCCCAGTTATTTGGGATGGACAACTTGAATCAACACCTTGCAATTGCAGATAGTTAATTTCAGTGTTTGCAAGGATGGTGATTTTTTTTATTTTTTATTTTTGTTTAAAAATCCGCAGTTATTGTAAGATTCTTCTTTATTTCTTTTTTTTTTATTATTATTATTTTTAAAAAGGCCTGAGTAAAAAGTTCCGCTCTGGGACTTGTATCAGATTCTCTCTGAAGCAGAATTCAACCTCTTCATTAATAAAATTCTTCAAGGCAATTCTTTCACATGGGGGGAACAATCATGCCAGATATAGCTGTTGTAAGGAAAGGGTTGGGGAAGAGAGGAGAGAGAGAAAAAGAGGAAAACGAGTTACTGTTGTGCATTGTAATGCAACCTTTAAACATTTACTAGCAACATATTTTGGCTGGAAAACATAAATTGCGAGAGACTGCTGAAATTAGTGATTTTCTTGCAGAGTAAATGCACTTCGCCCAGTATAAGAATCAGGCCCCAACTTACTCTTTTATTTTAGTTTCAAAATCTCAAAGTGTTCAACAGGTTCAAACCTGCCTCAGCCATTGCCATATTTTCTACTGCATGTTTTGCTCCACACATGAGCAAATGGCTGAAGTCCATAGGCAGCCAGCGTCAGCGATCTGGCAGTGCATTTGTTGCATTAGGCAGAGTAACAGCGGTTCATTTTCCTATGCCAGCTTTCTCTCACATGTTCAGTATTCAACATGGAGCATTATGAATGCATTTCCAGGTGCTCAGAAGTGACTTAAACTCTAAAAGTCTAAATTTGAAGTAGAAATTATGTTAAATGCCCTTAACTAAGTCATGGTTCATTACACTTGTAGATTTCACCAACTACACTGAGTAACATGTTAACTTTAACCTGCATCCTTTATTATGCTTTCTAACCTTCGTTCCTATGGAACCACCACCTCTCTAGAGATGTTTCTCAGAAGTCAACACCTACAGCCTTCCACCTCGCCTGACCTCCAGGTTGGTCTCTGTTTATCAGGCAGGGATCAGACACAGCAAGCGTCCGAGCGACATACTGTGAGCACGCGCATCATTACAGGTGGTGGTTGTGTAAGTTTCTGATGAAAGCTGTGACAACAACACATCCTTAAAACACCAGTTGTATGGTTATTTGCAGAAAGGTAGAAAACAGATTTGCCTTCAGGTTGGCGGCACTTCACGGGCACATTATTTAAATGCTAGAACTGCCTGCCATCTCCGACATCTGGACATGTAATTTCTTAAGGAAGAAATCAACCCTGTGACTGGTGCTGATTCATTGTGCTTTAATTACAGCTGCAATTATTTGATAAGAACAGAGCCAAAGTAAAAGACTCACAGATTTGGGGTTGGAGGGGGAGAGGAGGGAAATGTTTTCTCCACAAACACCACCATATGTGCAAGAATTACAAGTCTAATCAGCAAGGGGAGAACAGCTCGAGTAAACTGCACTGATTAAATGAAATAAAATGAGAGGAGAAGGCGAGAATGCAAAACACATCCACATGTTCGCAGGAGGCCGTCCTCAGAGGTGGCATGTTGCAATTGTTCAGCAGCATTTTGATTCCTAGAATTTATCATTCAGCCACAAGTTATGTGGAATCACTACAGTGATGGTTATCACTCCACATAAGGGCTCTGCAAGGTGCTGGGAAAAAAGGATTAAAGGGATAGAGAGGTGAGTTACATTGCTCGTGCCCTACAAGAAGACACTCAAGTAATCAGAAGAGGACACTGCTGTGTCTTAAATATTCCTTGCTGAGGCATTTCCTGACACGGGTTTTTTTGATTCTACCAGGGAATAATCTGTGGATGCACTTCCATGTTATCTCCACTGCTATGCTGTCTCCTTCATCTTAAATCACAGGATGAACTTGATAGACTTTTGTTTAAAGATTCCTTGCCTAAGGGTTTTATTTCAAGAGTATCTCAAATAATAAGCCCTGAGTGCCCACAAGTGGGCTTTACTCTTGGTACAGGTGAATAAAAATGAAGCAAAAGCAAGTCAAAAGCAATGCCCTTTTTGTGATACTCAGTTGCTCCCCACTCTGCTCTTGGGGTCATTACACTTAAGGGCTGGGGTACGAACATGGAACACGATCCATGGACATCCACAGCAGCCGTAAAGCGCCATGATGGGTACAGTCTGATTACAGACTGTAATTCTGCTTGTGGCAGCCATGTGAAGTGATCACTCACAGCTGAAGGTATTTCTTGTACGAATATATGACAGATTGACATGGGCATGGATCTGAAAATCAGACTTTGGTCCCAGTTCTCCTTCCAGCTCATTGTATTACATCAAGCATTTTGATCTGCTTCTGTTTCTTACATGGGAAAAATTTTTATCCATACTAGTAAAGCACTTGGAGATTTTTGGATGTGGGAAGTTGGAGAGCTTGCACACCGCAGATGTATATCACAACACAGAGAAGAGCTATGCTGAGAGCAATACTCCCTCCTTTGTTGTTCAGATAAGCTATGAGCTAAGCAGATGGGAATGGGTCAAGTCTTCCTGTGTGTGATTAGTGCAACTGAACTGAGTCAAATGGCTGATTAATTCCCTACTTCAGCATTTTGTCTTTTTCATATCTCTAAATGTAAAACTTCAGAAAGTGTCAAAATATAATAAATAAATAATCTGAAGCTAAAAGATTCCTTAACCCAAATCAATTTTACCAAGTAGTGGTCAAGAATTGCCTTTCTCTTGGGACAGCATGGCTGTCATCACTGTGCAGGATCCCAGATTAAGGTGACATAACTGTAACTCCTGCCTTCATGATGTTTCCCTATAGTTACATATTAGCCATGCACCTCTTGCCATTGGAAGGAAACTGTACAGATGCAGATCTTTGTTCATTTTATCAAAGCATTATTGCCTTTGAAGAGCACTAAAATTCTGAATTAAATTACAAGGCAAATGACAAAATGAGCTCTTTTCTACCTAAAAGCCTTGATATTTCCATTCTTTCCAAGTCTTCATTTATATCACTCGACTTTCATTTCATAAGTGCTACATCTAGTCATGTAAATTCTCTCAGCTGTAGCATGTTATTGATCCTGAAAACAGAGATAGCAGTGGGAAACAGTGTAGGTATGAGATCGCACCTCCAAGAAGAGAGGGCAAAAAAACAGAAAAACTCCCACCAATGGGCATTATTTCTTTTATCATGTACTAATTTGCATTTGCTGCTAGCAATTTACAGAAATAGCGTATTTTGAGTTTTACAAAATTGCATGGCAAAGAGAACAACAGATAAGCCTAGCTGTTGTTTTAGTGAGTTCTACAGATATCTAAGCTACATACGGAAAACTAGATTGCTTTCTGATGTATCCAGAAGCCCAAGAGAGATAAGACAGCCTCCTTATACAAGATTGTTTATTTAAGCAATAAGGCACAACAGGCAGTGCATTTCTGAGCGATTATTACAAGCCTCGGGTGGTATCAGAAGGCATGGGGCTAAAGGCTGCGCATCTTTAACTCACCAAGAAGTTCAGTGATGACCCTTAAAATGAATCTCTTGGTGGCTCATTCCTATTATGAAAACAGAATTGCTAAATAAAAATTAGGGGGAACACTCAGATCTGTGTGGTTTCTGGGCATTACAGATCTGGATGTGACATAATGAGGAGACAATCAGCAAGCCCCAGTTGCATCCAGCACTCAGCTTGTTCCATAATTGCTTTCCATAACCCATTAGGCAGAACCTGGGAATTCTGTGTCCCGTGAAAGGAAAAACAAGAGAAAAATCTTCCCTTATTACTTGCTTTTTCACTTCAACCTCACACACACTGGGACAAGGTGAAGAGATGATAAAAACATTGGAGTGTTCTGGCAGATTACAATTAGTTCCTTTTAATTTTCTTTTAATTCAGTCAAAACACTTTTAGCTGCTTTAGCCTTTAACATTTGTAGCATGTCAGCATCACCAGATCTTTAAAACGTAGGAAAAATGATATTCTAAGCAACACAGCACATCCAAAAACTCCGTTGTGTTTTATTCTTGATGCAGTCTGTATTTACAGCACTGCTTACAGAAGGCACCCAACAGCTGCATATACATTCCTATTATTTTCACACTTTCTGTGTGCACGTGTAAATGTGCAAGGATTCATTCCCCCAAATCACCAGCATAAATTGCACTGAGGACAATGCTTCCCTTCAGTCATGGTGGATCACAGCTTTTATGAATGAACTCCTTGCACTCTGCCTGTATGTAGACTTTTCGGCTATAATGGAACTATCAGCATTATGTTTGCAAGCCCAGCATCTCTCCATCCAGAGGATGTAAAGTGACATGGGGTCTGTGGAGCTATCCTTTCTCATCCTTCTGAACATAGCCCTAAAATGATGGATTCTGTCCCCCACTTTGTGCTCTTTAGTAATTTGCACAAGCACATGGAAAGGAAAACAGACCTCAAGTCTGGGAGAAGCACACACATACCGCAAAATCTTTTCCATCTCTGGCACAGTTGGAGGCAGCTGGTTAAGAAAACTCCTTAGTCTAAGTGAGCATGAAAACATCTCTCTCGGCACACTAGTGCAGAGTGAGGTAATTATGCAGACAGATTTAGGCAGTGTTGTAAAATAGGCTGAATCTAACACTGAAACGGGTGGTGCTGGTTTTGAGCATCTTCAGTTTGACAACCTTCTGTCTGCCACCCCTCAGCTTGTGTCAGCTCTTCAAAAGGAATTTAGGTGCTGATGCTCGAATACTTTGTAAGGAGAGGGTGCAGAAAAGCAGCAGCCCCTTCCTACCAAAATTTGATGAGGCCCTGCATCATTTGTGGAATTAATTGGCACAGAAGTGCATTAATCAGTGCTAATATATGCCCTGATATGAGTTAAACTGGCAAATTCAGTTTGTAATGTGTCTTCTATGTATGAAAGGCAGAGGTTGGTGCCAAGCTCTGTAACGGTCTATTTGCTCCCAGTAGGATCTCTGCACAAGTGTACTATGACAAAGGAAAAAAAAGGAAGGGAAGATTGAGTGACGTACTTCAGGAGAAGGCCAGCCCCTGGAGAGACCCTGCAGTGCTGTACTTGCTAGAGTCCACAAAAGACTGGTCTGATAATGGACGACAACAGGGAATAAGAAAGGAAAGAAAGAAAAAGGATGGTATTAGTAAGCTGAAATATTACTCGTTCTTATCACAACAGCAGGTCTGTGCTTTAAAATACACAGCCTCACAATTCATCAGTATTAGATGGGTTAGAGATAGGGTGGTTGCCAAACACCTGCAAGGTACTAGGTGGGCTGTCGGAGGAGTAGTTACTCTTTATGGGAGGAAGCTTTAGGACAGAGGCCACCAGGGATCCCCCACTGTCTTCTCCCCTTCGAAACCTGAGTGTCGCTCAGCGCCTTGCAAGGCGTGGGCAACTTACAGTTCTGAGAGCAGCCATCTACACTCCAGAGCTGGTTTCACCTACCTTGCAGGCTATTGCCATTGGTGCTGGTGCAGGTGGGAGGAGGAGAAGTTTGCGGTCTCACGACAGGCGCAAAAGCACTCTTCTGTTTCACCGCTGAGACCATGTTGGCTGGTGAGAACGAGAAAATCCCAGATGAACTGCTACAGTTGGAGGGGAGGCTAGTGGAGGAGGCCATTGTTGGACTTGATGGCACAACTAGAGGAAAAAAAGACCCCCCCAGAAAGGCACACCTTAGGATTAGATAGTCAGCACTACTGCAAAACCAAAAGACTACTGCTTGTTGGATGGACTGGGTCTAATTTCAAGTGCCCAAGGCTTTTATACAGTTAGCGGTAGCTCATAGTGCGATTTGTCGCTGAAGGAAGCCCACCTTTGGCAACTGCTCAGGAGCAGTGATGCTAGTGCATTCGAGGACTCCTTTAATTTTCTGTCACTGCAATAATTATTCAGGTACTGGCATCACCCATTGCAGAATAAGGGAATGAGATGGAATCCATATCATGCAGGCAACACAGAGGTGAGCAGAGGGGTTACAGTACACATCTGGATTTGGAATTTTTAATGTGGAACAATCCAAATTTTAAATTGGATTCCAAAGCCAGCACTTTTGAGAACTTTTGCCTCCAGAAAGGCTACAGGGTGTCAGATAAACCTGCATGAGGGGAGAGACACCCTTAAAATCCTATTTTATTGTACGATGCAATACATGCCTTTCGTTCATGTACTTATCATTAAGATTTCAAGTGGTTTTTATTTTCATGCAAACAAAACAACTCCTTTTATTTTCAGACAGCACTGACACTTCCCATCTTAGTTCAAAAGAAGAAAAAAAAAGTAATATCCTGTGCTTTCATTCTTTGTCCTGTTTAGAAACTGCTTATATACATGAGAGGACTATGAAAAATTACGTATTATAGAGTAAAATTCATACCATCTGGGCTTTGAATTATTATTTTATTAGCATTTATGTAGATAAAAATCACCCCATTTAAGTTCTTATTCGAAAATCTGATATCATATTTGTTAACACTGAGGAAATCAATTAATGGAAATTAAATGTTCAAAGTTTCACTGCCTGACAGATACAATCTTAGTCTGAAGTCACTCTATGTCTGCAAGTACTTGCTAAGGGAGAGCAATCAAAGCACCTAAATTGAATTGCTACTATACAGCAATTAGTTTATTGATTTAATTAAGAATGCCACCTTTTAATTTTCAGGTCATGATTGAAGCATTTTCTGATTCAATGGATTAGGCATTAGCAGAATGACAGATCTACCAAGAAAACCTCCCAAAATATCACCAGAATAAAGAACCAGGGCTGAGAGGTGAAGTGCTATTCTAAAGAGGACTTTGTTCATAAATATGAAATTATACATTGCTTGAGTATTTTAAATGCATCACTGGCATTGCTTCCAAAAGAAGATGTCTCATCAATCATGTTATATTATGAATTCAGAGTGTGCAGATTCTATGACAGTAAATTCAACTTAATAAGTAAGTACAGCATACTTCAACAGTATTTGCTACATTATTATTAGAGTACAAAATAATAACCAGTTAGCAATTCTTAAATTTTAAGTAGTAGTTACATAGGTAAATATTTTCTTCTAAATTTGCAGCTGCTAAGAAGCCTCGAAGGTAATGTTTTCCCCTTTTAAATTTTGAAGCCTACCGATGGAAGTCAGAATAATTACTGCTGTTACAACACTAAACTTAAGATTTCATAGAATCCTAAAATCACAGAATGGCTTGGATTGGAAGGGACCTTTAAGATCATCTAGTTTCAACCCATCTGTTACACGCAGGGACAATTCCCACTAGACCAGGTTGCTCATAGAACCTTGCTATGTTCAGCACTGTTTCTCCTGTCCATGTGAGGGTCTCAGTTTATAAACAAGTTTATAAACATACTTATAGGACAAGACCTTCTGTCCCGATTCTGATTGTAGCTTTCTGCAGATGTCTGTAGGCAGGTCCCATTCATTTCATTTTCTCAAGTGAACAGAGACTACTGACTGAGCTGCGTTAGTTGTGGCAGAAAAGGTTCATAGGTGTTTATCAACCAAAGCACATATATATGTATATATGTGTATGTATATGTATATATATATATACATATATATATACAAAATTGTTCAACTAAACCTTGCACATTAACATACAAAGTCCTACACAGAAGTATTTCCAGAACCAGGACTGTAGACTGTAAGTGCTTTGCACCATGGGATGTATGATTTGTATGGCTTGAACCTTTGTGGCATTCTCTGTACAGACACTAAAATACAAACTCTAAGAACCATTGTCACATTTTACTGACTAATACTAAAGCCTCAGTGAAGTCAATATACTACCTAGTTACAAAGCAAATGGCATATAAGCAATCAAGATTAGACCCAATAGTAATTCATGGTGTCTGTAAAGGTTATGAGCATATTATTTGTTCAGAGGTCTTGGAAACATCATCATGCAGCTTACGGAAATGTCAGTCTGCCAGTATTACAGCAAACTTTTCTGCCCTTCATATCTTCCAGCTGGAAACACTATTTTTCCTGCAGCAAATATCTTTAGCCTCCTCCCATCCTCACTGTAACAAAGAGCATGTACTGATAATATTTGATGCACTCCAACAGAAATTAAGTCACTTATGTCATCCCTGCTTTCTGGAATTAGCGATACTGAGAACAGAATTTCTTATTTACAGATATACGGTAAGCTATGAAACTATCAGCACAAATCATGAGAGACATTATTCTTTTTCAGCTCTTATGAGATTCCAAAATAATAATAGCAGAATAAAGAAAAGCGTTGCTGGCAACACCAACGTCTTCCAAGTGCTTCCAAGGTCAGTGGCCTGGGGAGGGGAGAAAAGCCTAAGCTCTGCATCAAGTGCTCAGAATAGAAACTAAATACTGAGTATCACAGAAAAGTTACCATCTCTTTGTAATGAAAATGTACAAATACAGAAGAGTCACATAATACTCACTGGCATAGGGAGAATTGGCAGCAGATCCATTCAGGAAGGTTGGAGAACCGCCTAAATTTGACATTCCAGCATTCCCATAGCCATTCATGCTTGTTGTGACAGAGTTGTAATTTGTCTGCTGAGGGGTGGTGCTTGGCACATAGCCGTGAGGTGACACGCTGCTTGAGTTGCGAGTAAAACCTTTTGTGGTGAGGGAATACATTCAGAGATTGGTATTAGCCCAACAACAATTTCTTATACAACAGCTACAAGCAAGTAACTCAGCAACAGGGTATGTGGGGTGAGCTACAACTGAGCACCGAGTAACCCAAATTGTGATCCCTGTCTGCATGGCTCGTTCTTGGTGGGAGCTCCAAGACGGAGGAGGAAGGCCACAGCCTTCACAGCAACAACCCATCTATTCAAGGAGAGATGATCATTGGGTACTATGGGAATGATCACTCTAAAAGAGCTGTTTTGTAAGAGATGAAGTAACATGACCTGTATTTTTGAAGTTATGAGTACATACTGATTTAAGGCATGTTAAAAGCATATGATTTTTGTTAACTGTCTTCTGTGGTCTTTCTCATTCAGTACATCTCAAATTAGATGCTCACCACACACTGAAGAAAACATAGGCTACATTTCCAAGAGTAGTGGAATATTCTCAGTCCTCTTGTCCTAGTTTGATCATTAATTAGTAGAAAATGACTGCCAAATTTGGCTCTAAGTTAAAATTTCAATTTCTACCTAATTTTGGAAATTGTATAAAAAAAAGATGAGTATTTGCTTCTACGAGCGCAGAAACACAAAATGCATTTCAATCCTGGAAGATAAAATACAATTTTTTTCTTCCTTTTCCATAGTACATCCACAAAATATTATGATTTAAAAATCATTTCTATTTCTTAGAATAGTGCAAAATATTTTTTTTTTAACCCTTCCAAATAACAGTCTCTTTCTATTGCTTCCTCACTAAAATGGATTTTAAGGTGGGTAATAAATAAAGCTGAGCAAGGTAGAGGGGAAAAATGCCAAAGATTTTTACAAAAATAGAAATTAAAATATTATTTTTATTCAATGTGAAAAATACTTTATTATAAAAATGAGCGAAGCTCTGAAAATGCCTCTGTAAATAATACTTTTTTCCTACTTTCAAAATTTAGAAAAAAATTTCACTCTGAAAAAAATTCATGCCAATACTGCAAACCAAACCAACACTTTCATGTCACAAGAAAGTATTACATAATGCCCAGACTTAGAGACCATGTATGTTTAGGAAAATGCATAAGCAAGTTCTTAATCTTAAGTATACGCTCAGGTCGATAAAAATCCTTTTTAAAAATAGTGGGATTTGAAGGCAAACACAAGTGTTAGATTCTGAGCAGAGAGAAAAGTGATTTGGTTCACTTGATTTGGTGATTTGCACAAGGCTTCTCCTGAATAAGGGTCAAATTCACTACAGAAAGCCGTATCTCATGGCAGTATTGTGTAATTCAGAGTTTGTATGTGCACGTGGGATGCTGTCTGTCTGGATGTGCTCCTCATGTTCAGCTTTGAACCATCTCTCTTTCATCACTCTGCACGTCTGCCTGACTTTTATCAGAAAAGGTTCATAAAGAGAGGAAGACGAGTCTTCTCCTGACCCTGATTGGTGGCCTGTGAGGCTTCAGATACGTTGACAGCTAGTTGACCACTAAAGGAATTCACTCCCATCATTCCTGCATGGACTGACGTGTTAGCAAGGGCGGGGAGCTGGTTATGATTGCGAGGGACACTGTAGAGTGCTTCCGCGATGTCTGCTGCTCTTTTCAGGATTATTTCCTAGGGGACAAGGGTAAAAAAGAGTTACCAACTCAACTCTGACAAACCTTTTCTTACATATCAAAATAAAACATTTCCCTGTCCAAATGCAAAAACTAGATGCTTTTCTTCCTAAACCAGCTGGCTGATAAATTGCTAACACTTATAGCTCTGCTTACTTTGCTATAAATCCTGACATCTGTGGTAAAAGAGCTGGAAGCTACAGTCCCAGTGGCCACATTTCTGTATAACAAGAGAAGCTGGCAGAATGGCACTGAAGCCCAGGCTCCCTCCACCTGAAGCTAAAATATCTTTAGGTTAAGGCTGAAACATCACTGGTGGCAAGGAGTAATGCATATCATTGCCCACATTATACGGTCTCTGGTGATAGTGGGCAAATGCCTCCAGGGTTAATAACACGTTGCTTTTGCAAGCATTCACATACTTTAAAAACCAAACAGGCAAACTAAGCCCGCTCCAGATATGACATTGCCCTATGTGTTTATTCTCATCTCACATTGTAGTATCATATACCTTTAGCCTCTGATCTATACATCTAAGAAATAGCCATGTTTTAGAACTGCTAAAGGAGAATGCATTTACCTGGTTATTATGTGGCATACCGTAGAGTGCTTCTACTAAATCAGCAGCCCTCTTAAGTATTACTTCCTGTCAATATAAAAACAGATGCGTTCCTTTAAGTTCAGTAGACTCCTTGTGAGGGAAAACAAGTATTAGAGTCTTTCGTATTATTCTATCGGGTGCACTGTTGCTTTGTGTTGTTCCCCCCACCCCCCTAGGCAGACTTTAATTTTAACAACTCTCAGCAACCACTGAATGGTGTTAAATCAGTAGTTGATCCTATTCGTGCACACACTTAATCAAGTCAAAAGGTGAGAATCATTGGTGCTGCAAAATAAAATACATCACTCAATTGTCTTTACCATCTGCACCATAAACCACTCATCGGTTTATTGCGGAATACAATCCTGAGGTCATTTACTAGATTACTGCAATCAATGTCATTCAGAGCATGTTAGGCATCCCTTCAATGTGTTTGTTTTATTCTTAATTGCATACTGCAGGAATTGTGACCTTACCCAGCAGGCCACGTTCAGAAGATATCCAATCAGTTCCATGCTACTGGTAATGTAACCTTTCAACTTCTTTGGTTTGTATCTTGATATAACGGATCAGGGAAGGATCCGTGTTGACAGCACGCACAAGAGGAAAACACATTCACTATGAGAGAATGTCCCTGTGCCATGCAGTGTTTCCTGGAAAAACTGCCAGCATGGACAGCAAAATTTAAAGCAGGCTAGGACACAGTTCTCAGTGTAGGAATAAATTCAGTTCTTATTCATTTCTCCCCCTCCATTTTCCTATTTGATTCTCTTCTCTTAAATGTTTCCTGTAGCATTTTAAACTGTCATTCAAGTAATATAGCATGTAATCCTGTATTCTTACATTTTACAGTGTGGAAAATTCCCTGTGAACAAACCTGATTAAAATTGTGAAAAATGCACTACAGAATTAACTCAGAAGAATTTTATTTTCCTATTCTTTAAAGGCACCTAGCAGATTCCTAATTGTCTGCCCAAACACAGTCCAGACTGTGCTTTACATAAAACAGTGTATTGTAACTCCCAGTCCTTACATGTTGCTCTAATAAACTAATGTGATGTTATTCACCACATTGTATTTCTGCAGGCAGCTTACAAAAATAGTAACAGATCTGAGCATTTTCCAGTTTTCTACAAAGTTAAACTTTTAAAGTTAAAATATTTTCCACAATAGCCATATTTTATACCAAAAAGAAACAGTAATGCTCAATTTTCATATACTGTAGACTCTGATCAGAAAATAGAGATATAATTGCATTCATTTTGCTGTCACCATAACCTCTTCAAAAATCCTTGAACAACTCTTCAAATGACAAGCTTTTAGATGCATATTAGCATTTTTTTCAATTTTAAATTCTCTGTAATATAAGATAAAACAGTTGTCATACTGCAGTAACTACTTATGACATATATAATGTCCTAAATTCAAAAATGAGATGGAGGATTTTTGTACTTCCAGTAAACATTTAGGATTGCCTTCTGCTGCACACACCCCTCTCCCATAACACACATCTAAATTATTTTCCACATATGAAGTCAGATGCAATATGTAATTGATGGATTTCTGAATCACTGTATTGAAACATTCTGAGGAGTAACGTTGCTACAGCTTTTCTTCTTTTCTTTCTTTCTTTTTTTTTTTTTTTTTCCCCTCTCTGTGTGTGTGTAGCTTGACCACAACTGTCAGCTACATAATTATGAGTAGGCAGACTACAAGCAACATCCAGGTACAGTCAATCCTTGCTGCTTTAACAAAATCATCAGAAAACTACGTAGCCCTTTTTCCCTCATGTTGAAGATAAAAACTGGAAAAGAACAGAAACATTAAAATGATTTCAAAAGGGAAATTATTATAAAAGTGTTTGACTTTTTAAACTAGGATATACTTCACTTCAGTAAAATGTGTTTGCACTATATATTTCACTAATGCAAAATTAGAATGTGATAAAGAGCCCACAAACTGCTTTGGAATATTGTTAACCAAAGCTGTCATTATGTTAAATTACTAAAAAAGGAAAGTTTAATTACCTGACTCTTCATAGTTATTTGTGTAATGCTGAGCTGAAAAAAACCCCTCATACTGCATCAAAAAAGAGACTGAAGACCATGTTAAAAGAATGAGGTAATTACATGGAATCTTACAGGTGCTCTACTTCATATTAAATATATTCCAGTTCTTAAAAAATGGAAGGTATTTGAAGATGTATCATATTGCGTATAAATAAAACTAATTATCATGATGGCTTATTTAGGTATGTTTGACAAATAACATTCAGTTTTCCTAGCTAGTCAATGGCTACTTTTGTCAACATTTTTGAATCTGTAAATTTGAGTTTCCTACTTTCTCTAAGAATATTTACACACATAAAAATGCATTTCTTGTTTGTGATATTTTCAGATCATGTATCCCATGTCAGATACTGGTATTTTCTATTGCAGAGCTGACAATGTAACTATAGACACAAACTAGCTTTAAAAATACACAATGAAATGCTACTACAGATATACTCAGGATATTAACTTCTTTTTTCTCTGCATGTATCTTAAACCTCTTACAGCTCTGCCTAAATTACAGCACAGACTACAGTTACGTCTTCACATAGAAAGGAGCCCCGAAAGTCCTCTATAAGTTAGAGCAACAGACCTTGCAAGGTGCTTGGATTGCGGTGACCAGAAAATTGTTCTCACCTCCATGTCATTACGCTCACAGTGAAGCAGCCCCCGAGCATGTTTGTGTTCGGGATCTAATATATTGCCTTTCAATCAGAGCTGAGAGCCACTGAACACACAGACAGAACATGACGAGCAGGTCAGGAAAGCAATAAAGATTTTACAGAGCTGTCCAAGGTGCTAAATTTACTCAATAATGGGTTTGGCACCATAGTGTTAACCTCTCATTTACTACCAGTTTGAGGGACTAAATTGAAGTAGCTGACTTCATTTACCTTGAAATGTATATTTTATGACATTATGTAAGTAGATTGAAAGGGCACTGCAGTTTTAACAATTTAAAGGCTAGAGCATGTATAAGATGAAGCTTGAACATTTATTGTATATTGCACTTAAACTATATAGTATATTAAAATGCATTGATTAAATTTGTAAAAGGTATTATAAAAAAGGACAGCTAATATAAAAGATCTATGCCTTTTAAAATCCAATTGATACTGCATGCTATCACTGCAATGGTGATAAACAGACAGACAGGTGGACAGGGCAGCAGACAGACATCAAAAAGTGAGTGAAACTTGCATACTACAAATAGAAATCTCTACAAAAGCTCAAGATCTGTTTTTCAGTATACTTTTTGTTCACAGAAATTCTCATTTGCCTTCATCATAGAACCACAGATTTTCATAGGAGTAGGTGGGCATCACGTAATACCCTTCTAATTGAATATGCTAGTGGAAATGTCTTCTGAAGAGACAGAGTTTTACTATAGCTAATATCTAATTTATGGAGGTATTCAACAAGGAAGATCCACTCTTCTACAAATGGGAAAAGTCTGACACTTTCATTTGGAATAAAGAACTATGCAGCTTTTAGTTAGAGGCAAAGTGAGGATCTTCATGTCTTGCATTTTCTTTCAAATGAGCACAATTTTGTTTCTATAAAAATAACAAAAATATTGAAATGAGCAGAAACTACTTTAGAGATTAAATACGATGAATCAGAATTCTGCCCCCCAGTTACACGCCACTGATTCAGAGTCCATTCCAAACAGAAGCCGATTTTCTACTGCGGGATTTACTTTTTTTTAATTTGTGAAACAAAAATGCAACTGATATTTGTATCAAATGTTTACGTAAGCAAGAGAAGAGCTGGGCTATAGTCTGTTGTGACTTTGCGCATTCCAAAATTACTGCAGGAAGGATTATATAAGGATATGAGAATGACTGTGTTTTTGAAGCACAAAGACTGTAATTCAGATGAAATCCACTTCCAACTGAATGTACTTTGAACATTACAGCAACTTTGCATGTTTTGACTGTGACATGCATTCCCTTCAGCAAGAATTCATTAATAACATAAAACTTGCATTTCAAGTGTATTACACCATTACAACAAATACATTTTGGGTCAAGTTTTATCATGATGAATAATTTTTTTGGCAGCTTTAAAAAATATGGGAACTCTTTGCTGTTGACATTTGCTTATTTTTCATTGGGCGATAAGTGAAAAAAATCCACTCTGTGTCCCAGCAGTACTGTGAGTCCAGTCAGCAAAAGGGTATCTTGAGTTACAGTTAGTTATTCAGCTCCAGTAACTAAATTAGAGTATTTAAGGTACTAATAAGTGTAATCTAAATGAATTTTGTCAAGAAGCTGACCACAATATAAAATACTCATCAGCCACATATGGTATTACGGAGACCACCAAAGGATTTATGTACTTGTGGAGGGCGTGGGGGGAAAGCTGTTCTAGCATGCTGTGAGGCATTTATCTTATGTGTTGTCTAGATATCATATCACCTTCTAATGCTCTCTAGCATTGTAATACAAGAGAGAGCTCATTCATCTTCTGAGAGGCTACTTAGGGATGATGATGTCATTCATACTTCCTTGACTCTCATGTCTGACCTCCTGGCTCTGCCTTCTAACTTCCTACTCTCAAGGCTGCTTGAAAGAAAAAGAACCCCTTCTACAGAGTCAAAATACTGAACATCAGACTCCTATTCCTTTCTTCATCTTGGGATGCTAGCATTCTTCTACTTCAAGTCAAAATTATAATATTTTGTGCTCAAACTTTTCCTTTGCTTTCCAAAGGATGAAACATTTAATGTACTAATGAAGGACATGTACTAGAAAAAAGTTTTAAACTCAGCATTTGTAAGTACATTATATTTTAAAAGACAAAATTATGAACACCTCTTTTAACTGCAGAGGCAAAGATAACATTTAGGTAGAGATATTTAGAAAGATTCCAAGGTAAATGACTGGCATTTTAGATCTGTGGCATGCAGGAGTTTCAGGATGCCCAGTGTCTCACATCTTTCCATATTTACAGGGAGCACTGCATTATTTTATCATCTTCAGCTATTATATT